GTATTCTAGTACAATTTCTCATAAGTATATTCTTCGGACCTACCATTCCCATGAACAATGGTTCCCCAACCATATAAAATTTGTGTTATGTATTACATGTTTCTCTTAGCAATTTACACTTTCATTTCGAATACTAAGGCCCTGAGCAATATGGCAGTGAAAATCTCTATATATAATTTCACTGAGTCCCCTTTGTTTTCCCACAAACACAAAAAACTATTAGCATCCTTTCAGATATGTTACATAAAAAGTTTTATAAGCAGGAGGTCTAAGTAAATGTCTATTGAACTGAGGCTAAGCATTGCCTTCATTAAATACTCATTAGGCTGGGTAGGCACTTGGTATAGCTGTTGAACTGCCACCACTTGGAACCCCCCCATTCCAAATGAGAGTGCCTGATTCAAGTCCTGGCTACTTCACTTCCAATCCAGCCTCCTGCTAACGTGCATCCTGGGAGGCAGCAGATGATGGCTTACGTACTTGGCCATCTACATGGGAGAACTGGATGGAGTTCCAGGTCCTGGCTTTGGGCTGGCCCAGTCCTTGCTGTTGTGGGCAGGTGGGGAGTGAACCAATCAATGGAAGACACTTCTCTTTCTCTGCCTTTCAAATAAAATGAAAACAAAAATTTTAAAAACTCCTAGCAAAAGAAATAAGCTTTCAGTTTATAAGAAAACTAAACAAAAACAGTCCAAGATGACACTCTAAAATGCTTACAAGTTGTTGGCCAGTACTGTAGCACAGTGAGTTAAGTTGCCTCTTAGGATGTCAGTATATCAGAATGCCGGTTTGAATCCCAGCTGCTCGGCTTCTGATCTAGTTTCTTGGTAATGCACCTGGGAAGGTAGTGGAAGATGGCCCAAACACTTGGGCCTCTGCCACGACTGTTGGAGACCCACATGGAGCTCCTGGCTCCTGGCTCGGGCCTCACCCAGACCTAGCTGTTGCAGCCATTTAGGAGAGAAACCACAGAATCAGAGATATCTCCCTATTCTAGAACATATTTGCTGAATTACATGCAAAGTAAACTAATACCCTGAGCATATTAAATACCATCTGAAAATCTGTTAAGAATTTTGCAGAGAACAAGGCATTTTAAATACAATCTTCCTAATATCTGAATAAGTACTCATAAGCAGAAGAAAATTTTCCTTACATAAAAATTCCAAATAAAATATATGGATAATATTCCCCTACAAGAGATGAAACTGATCAGCCCCACTTCCTTGAATATGGACTGGACTTCATGATTTGATTCCAAAAGTTATAGTATGGAAAGGGAAAAGACAATAATTTTACAATAAAGAAATCTGGCAAATGTTATACTGTCCCAAAACCCATACTCGAATCTATTCAAGAGAAAGACACCAGCATTAAATGACACATGCTACAAAATGCCTAATTAGTACTTCTTAAAAATGTCAAAGTCATGAAAAACAAAGAAAGACTATAAAAGTCCAGAGCAGACAAAAGCAAAGTGAATTAGTGCAATGTGGTAGCACAGGCTGGAGCCTGAAGTTGAAAAAATTAGAGGACCATCTGATGAAATCTGAATAAAGCCTGGCGTTTACTTAATAGTAACTTAAGTAACTTAAGTTACTTAATAGTAACTTGCTGACATTAGTTTTCTAGTTTATCTTTCTGGGTTTTGTTTTGTTTTGTTTTTACTTATTTGAAAGACAGAGAGGCAGAGAGACAGAAACCATAACAGAGAGAGAGAGAAATATCTCCCATCTGCTGGTTCACTCTTCAAATGCTGGCGACAGCTGGGCCAAACAGAAGCTAGGAGTCCAGAATGCAGCTTAATTCATCAGTGTAGGTGGCAGGTATCTAAGTACGGGAGCCATCAGGGGCTGTCTCATAGGGCATACATTAGCAAGAGGCTGGAACTGGGCACTGGACGCAGGACTCAAAGCCAGGCACTCCAATCCGGGATGCAGGGGTCTCAAGAGGCAGCTTAACAGAGGTACCAAAGTCCAACCCAGTTTTCTAATATTTTTCAGTGGTACCACAAAGAAAGATGGTAACATTAGGGGAAAAAGTAACCAGGTGAGGGGGACCAGGGGACAGTATGTACCATTTTTGCACCTGTTTTGTAATGTAAAACTATTACAAAATAAAAGGTTTATTGAAAAAGAATTTAAATAAATATGCCAAATGAATAACAACTCTAATTCTTCTCATCCACTCTAAAGAAATCCTTGCACAGGTACAGAAGAAAGTATATAACACAAGGACCTTCACTGTAGAAGTCCTAGGATCAGAACAAAAATTTTAAATAATTGTAGTAGAACAACTAAATCAGGAAATATTTGCCTTACGGAACACCATACAGCAGTTTAAAAAGTGAGATACTTCAGTATATACTAAGAACACATAATGTTGCATAAAGAAATCACAAAAGAGTACTATGGCATGTGATATTTATTATGTTTAAAAAAGCAAAAAAGAATACAAAATATTTCTATATACATTTCTAGCAGTATACATGATAACTTATATGTGTTTAGATAAAGCTCTGGCAAGTTCCTCAGTAACCTGGTTATAGGGGTAACTTACGTAGAGGGGACTGGAATTAGAGTTGGTGGTCAAGGGCATTTGGGCTTTACCCTATGGTGCTGAAATTATTGTACAAAGAGACTACCTTCATCATTTACCTGGAGAATTATTATTTTTTAAGTTAAAGTGACAATTTTTCTCTGACACAGAGAGGAAAATGCCAAGAATACAGTTCTGGCAATTGGTATGGCGCAGTGATACAAAGGGTGTCCCAGGGAGGTCAGCAATATTGCTGGAGGCCTTTGCCTGAAGTCCTGCGTAGTTCCCTGAAACAAGTACTCGCTCCCATGGTAGATATTACGGTTTGGCCAGGCTTAACAATGAGAATGCCAATAATGAAATGTCCAATTCATCACAGTTTTCAAGAGAGGTGCATGCACCTGGAGGGCTCTTGCAGCCATCCAGATAAAAGAAATCCCAAGTGATACTGAAAGAAACTGACTTCTTCCTTTATCCCAGGTGATCTCAGAATCCAAAGTTTATCTTTATCTTACAGAATAAAAGCAAAAACTGACCAAGAATGTCACAGTGCTTTACATAACAAATATCAAACTAAAATTCTGCCAGACACTAAAGACAATGTCCCTTTTTTTTCACACCTCTTATCCCACAATAGGCCAATATATTTTCATACAAAATGAAACTACAAAAATCACATGGACAATCTTTTTTAAAAAAGATCTATTTTGTATTTATTTGAAAGGCAGAGTTTCAGAGAGAAGGGTAGAGACAGAGAGAAAGGGAGCTTCTATCCACTTGTTCATTCCCCAAATGGCTGCAACAGACAGCACTGGGCTAGGCCAAAGCTAGTAGCCCAGAGCTTGTTGTGGGTCTCCCACATGGGTGCAGGGGCCCAAGCACTTGGCCCTATCTTCCACTGCTTTTCCAAGCACATTAGTAGGAAGCTGAATCAAAAGTGGAGCAGCTGGGTCTCAAACCGGCACCCATATGGGATGCCAGGGTCACAGGTGGAGATATAACCTGATGTGCCACAATGCTGGCCCCACATGGACAATCTTGAAGAAAATGTAACTAAGGATATATAGTTGAATAAGTGCTAAAACATTATTAAGGGACTAGAGTTTTCCTTTATATATATTTGAAAGATAGAGTTAGAGTTACAGAGAGAGGTAGAGACAGAGAGAGAGAGAGAGGTCTTCCATCTGCTGGTTCACTTCCAAAATGGCCACAATGGCTACAGCTGAGATGATCAGAAGCCAAAAGCCAGGAGCCAGGAGCCAGGAGCCAGGAGCTTCTTCTAGGTCACCACGTGGGTGCAAAGCCAAAAGACTTGGGCCATCCTCCACTGCTTTCCCAGGTGCATTAGCAGGGAGCTGGATCGGAAGTGGAGCAGGCCGGACTCAAACTAACGCCCATATGGGATGTCAGCACTGCAGATCAGGGCTTTAACCCACTGCGCCACAGCGCCAGCCCCTCCTTAATATATTTTAAAGAGATCATTTCCCATCAACAATCTTTGGTATTTTTAAAAATAACATTTTGAGAAGCTTTCAATATATAATTAAAAGCCTTCTCCTCTACCACAGCCAAGTTTCAGTAAGTGATTAGGAAAGTTCCTTTCCAACTCTTAATATTCATTAAAATAGACCACTTAGATTCTGTATTCCATTATTTTAATAACACAATGGCAACACAATATTTTTTGCATCAAGATAATAAAATTTTAACCCTGATGAACCTCTCTATGTGTTTGCACTCAGCAGACAATAGAAAAATCTCACCAATAGAAAGATCAAAATCAAATTCATGATCGTGAACCTCAAATGGGCAATGAACAATGTCTACCAATCCTACACATCTCTGGCCATCTCACTCATCTCTTCAAATGATCCTTTTAAATTTCTGTTCTCCTTAAACCTTCAATTAACTACTACCCCCACACCTTTCCCTCTTGTGACTCTTTGCCTTGGATTCCTATTTTACAGACAAAACAGACCACTGCCAGACAAGACTTTTATGTTCCCAAAACCTAATATACAAAGTCATTCCATCCACTTCGATCCTGATCTCCTTCACTCCTACTACAAAAGGGAAGCCATCCCTACTCTTGAGCTAGGTGCTCAGACACTTGAGCTGGAGATGCTATGGTCCTTCCTATCCTATACAGGAATCTCTGAATCGGTCATCCCTTCTTCTCGTTTAGTCAATCTCTTCTCATCAGAATCCTCCCTTTAGACTTTTAAGTGGACTCAAGGCAATCTAATTACCCCCATCCCCTTCTTAGCTCCCTTGCCCTTCATTGCCAAACTTCCTAGACAGCAGTCCACGTCCATACTTGCAGGCTCTGTTGCACCACTTCTCAGTGTTCACACACTCTCATCCAGCTCCCAGCCCAGAAACAAGACAAAGCACTCCCTGCTAAAATCCCTGATGACCTTTCTAGTCTAAATCCAATACACATTCTACATCCAGCACCTTACCTGACCTCTCAGCAGCATCTCACTACTTCCTCCTTCTTGACATATTTCCATCTTTAGCATCTATGAAACAATATTATGCTGCTTCCCTTCTGTCTGGTCATTCTTTTCTCTCTATTCCAAACTCATTCCTCTTTATCTGGCCCATAAATGTGGGAGTTCCTCAGTCTTCAGTCTTTCATTCTTTCTTCCAAAAGAATCGTACACATGCCCTTGGCTTCAATTATGACCAACATGCAGATGAGTTACGAATTTACAAATCCAGCCCAACCCTCTGATCTGAATCACAGGTCTATTCACTTTGTACTTGCCGCTTCCTTTTGAATGACTCAAATGTACCTCAGATTCAACATGCAAAAAACAGAACACCATGATCTCCCAAAACCTGACTTCTCTGAATATTACCTATCCCAGTACACAGTGATCCAGTTTCCAAATCCAATCAATCACCACACACTAAGTTTACTTACTAAGCAGCTCTGAAATCTCAACTACTACCACCTTATCCAAACTATGCTCATTTTTCTTGGGTTAATGCAATAGCTACCTCTCTTATCAAATCTAATAGCTACCTGTCCATACTACCCATATCCAACTGTTTTCTAGAAGTCTGCCAGAATAATCTTTCAGAAACATATATTAAACCACCACACCCTTCTCTTTGGATAACACAGTCAATAGGTTCCTACTGTTCTTTCAGGATAAACACAAAGACAAAACTCTTTCAAGTGCCTTTCAGGATCCTGAGTACGTCTGGCTCTTCTCTCCATTACAGTCATCCTAGCTTTTTTCCCCACCCTCTGTACTCACTGTGCTCTTTCCTATTCCAGGTCCCTCTACATTGCTTACACTGCTTTCTCCCTGCCAAAATGCTCTTCACACAGTTAACTCCTTCTCATCATCCAGAGAGCAATTAGGCATCAGTTCTTCGTGGAATCCTATAATGCCTGGTTCATCTCCCTGTGCTTAGCTCTCATAGCACCATGTATCTCTTAACAAAGATCATTTTTAAAATTAGAATCTCAGTATGGTTGCTTTTGTAGGTTATAACTTTGCTAAGACCCAGTGCATTGAAGCACAATCTGGGGAAATGCATATCACAGACAAGAAAGGGTATGCAAATTTTTGTTAGCTGTAGAAACTTTTGCTGCAACAAAACCTTTTGAAGGGAGCCTAATATTCTAAACAGGGAAATAGGAACCTCTCTATGGGTAGATATCTGTCCTGAACCAACTCCAAACCTCTTTGGGAACCACATACCCCTCTCTCAGTTGCAGCCTACTACAGCTCCCTGGAATCCACTAAATGAGCATATGCATGCTTCCCCTGCTCAGCCACTTCAGCTTTTACTGGAGTGGGGGATGTAGTAAAAAGGATTGGGGAAGAGTATTTCTTAGCTTTTGTTTTCCATTTTTTTAAATTCAGTTAATGAATACTATCCTCTATAAAAACCTGTTCCTTAACCGCTTTGGTTTGACTGTGTCTGCTGCAAAATTCATGTGAAAGCTGAATCTTCACTGCAGTTGTACTAAAAAGTGGGACTTTTAGGAGGTAATTAGGCCATGAGGGGTCTGCCTTCCTGGATGGGATCAGCACCTTAGAGGAAAGCACTGGAGGGGACCAGCAGGGCCCTTTTGCCCTTCTGTCCATGCTGTCATGTGACATCACAGTGCTCCTCCCCCTGCAGGACACAGTACCAAGGCAGAACAGGCCCGCATCAGACACCAAACCTGTTGGTGTCTTGATCCTGGAATTTCAGCTTCCAGAACACTGAGAAATAAATTTCTATTGCTCATTAATTACCCAGTCTCAAATATTTTGTAACAGTAGGACAAATGAACTAAACCATCAGCATTTATATAGCTCTTGGTCTTTTGAAATAATGTTTTTGGGCATATTTGCCATGTTACCTTAACTTTACTGAATGTTCCTTTATGCTGAAATCTTTGTTCCCCTGTTTTGGAATAACTTACAATACTAAGTACAGTAGGAGGCATTTAAAAATAAAAAGAAAAATTGCAGTCTTTCTGACATGAAAGACTAAGACAAGCATGTCAGGTTTGAGTCATAAACACATCTCACATGTGATTAGTAAATACAGAAGAGTAAGGAAAGAATTACAAACCTTCTTCTTCCCAACCCAATCAAAGGCCCCTCTCACTTTTGTCCCTCATGGGTCATGACTATACTTACCTCTAACTCTTTCATCAGAAGAAGGAAACCACATTCTCCCCAAGGAAGCAATCCTGAGAGATGAATTGCCTTTCATTGGGAATAGGAATCTCCAGGAGAAAAGATCACTTTTAGTAAATGCCATGGTCTGACATCCTATCTGTTCTTGAATGATTACCTCTGGATTCACGGATAGTAAAGTGATTCCAGATTAAAGAAAATTTAGTTTAGGTCACTGTACTTACCCAGACCAAAGGAGGGATTCTATTCAAACTACAAATGAAGTGTATATTGGACTTCCTAAACAAAAAAGAATCTTGTCTAGATGAGTAAGTTTTAGTGGTAATACAGGTCTAGTAGATAAAAATATAAAAACTGATTTCCAGGGCTGCTGTTGTAGCACAGTGGGTTAGGCTGCCACTTAAAACGTCAGCGTATCATATCAGAAAGCCAATTTGAGTCCGTGCTGCTCTGCTTCTGATTTTGCTCCCTGCTAATGCATCTGGGAAAGCAGCAGCAGATGACCCAAGTGCTTGGGCCCCTGCACCCATGTGGGAGATCGCACGGAGTCCCAGACTCCTAGCTTCATCCTGGCCCAATCTGATCATGTCGGTGATTTGGGGAGTGAGCCAGCAGATGGAAGATTTCTCTCGTTCTCTATAACTCTGCTTTTCAAATAAAGAAATTTTTTTTAAAAAAGTGATTTCCAAAGAAGCATTTATATTTTCCCATAAGTACCTTACTACGTTCCATTCAGTGGATTCTGTTCTCAAGAAGCTTAGGTGCTGGACTTCTAAACAATATCATATTTGATCACACAGGAACAAACTATACATCAGAAGTTTCTGCTACTTAAGTTGCATATTAAGAAACATAAATATTTCCTAAATATAGTAATTTAAGCAGGATTTTTAGAGAAGAATCAAAATGCTTACACATTCTAAAGGGGAATTTTTCTTGAGGAAGAATACATTTATAGTGGTATTTTCAGATCTTAAAAAACTTTATGGTGAGAAACTACATGATATAATTTAAAAAGCACTGAATCTGGAATCAGGACAACCCAACTCTAATTCTGGCTCTGTCACTAACAACTGACTGAATTAACTTATTTCTCTTTTTGGTCTACAGTTTCCTCATTTGTAAAATATAAGACTTGGACATCCATATCTGAAATTTAAGTTTGTCCTACTCTGCAAAGTCACTGTACCTAACTGGAAAGCACTAACAATGTCACCTTGTAGCTCCTATGTGGGAAGTAGAATAAACACTTACTCAAGATGGTTTAATAAAGTGTTCCATAGGGGATAGTGATACATCAGTCTATTTGTTCACTTATCCATTCGTTTATTCTAGCATCATATTCACCCACTATTCAAATAAGTTAATACAAAGTGCTTTCCCAGGCTACACAATTATTAAATAACAGGTCTTAGATATTCTTCTGCATATAATGTCAGCATGAATTGACATCTGCTGTTGTTAATAAGTAGTTGTTTTTCTTTATCAAACAAAAGGACCAATTTCTTGAAACCTCCTCAAGACTGCCCAATGTTATCTCCAAAGTATTTCAGGCAATGAAAGTCTTTCCCACCGAGTATTAAAATTAAGCAGAGTTCAGCAATGATCTCTTTGTGATATGACGTGGAAAGCATAGGCAATAAAAGCAAAAGTAGACAAATGAGACAACAACTAATTTAAACATTTTTGTATACCAAAAGACACAATCAACATAATTAAAAAGAAATCTACAAAAGGGAAGAAAATGTCAACAAATCATATACTTAAAAAGAAATTAATATGCAAAACATAGCACTTTTACAATCCAACAAAAAATTTAAAACTTGAAAAATGGGCAAATGACTGGAACAAACATTTCTTAAAATACATTATACAAATCACCAACAAACATGAAAAAATGTTCAACATCCCTAATCATCAAGAAATGCAAATCAAAATAATGAGATAATGAAATATCATCTCACACCCACTCGGGTGGTGACTATTAAAAAAAAAGAGAGAAAGAGAGAGAATATAGCAAGTGCTAGCAATGCTGTGGAGAAACTGGAATGCTTGGGGTCTGTGGCTTAGTGGGAAAAGCCGTTGCCTGCAGTGCCGGCATCCCTATGGGTGCTGGCTCGACACCTGGCTGCTCTACTTCTGATCCAGCTCTCTGCTATAACCTGGGAAAGCTGTAGAAGATGGTCCAAGTACTTGGGCCCTTTCACCCGTGTGGGAGACCCATGTGGATGCTCCTGGCTCCAGATTGGCACAACTCCACCCGATGCAGCCATTTGGGGCGTGAACCAGCGGATGGAAGCTCTCTCTCAATCTCTCTCTCTACCTCTGCATATCTGTTAATTCTGACTTTAAGATAAATAAATTAAAAAAAAAGAAATTGAAATGCTTATGTACTGTTGGTAAGTTTGTAAAATGCTGAAACTGCCATGGAAATTAGCATGGTGGGATCATCAAAAATTTAAAATAGAATGACTATATTATCCAGCAATCCCACTTCTGGGTATGTCCAAAATTACTGAAAAGGTCTCGGAAGAGACATTTGCACTTCATTGCAGAATTATTCACAGTAGCCAAGAGGTGGAAAAAAAAACAAACATCCATCAACAGATGAATGAATAAACAACATATGGTTTATATGTGCAACATAATGGTATCCTGCCTTTAAAAAGAGAAAATCTGTCACATACTACAGCACTGAGGAACCTTGGACATCATGCAAAATGAAATAAACCAGCCAGAAAAAAAAAATACACACACTATTATTACATTTAACATGAGATTTTTAAAAAGTCATCAAGGTTGGGTGGGCATTCGGTGTAAGTAGCTAAGATGCTACTTGGGACACCTGCATCCCATATCAGAATGCCTGGGTTTGAGTACTGATTGTGCTCCTAATTCCAGCTTCCTGTTAATGTGCACCATGGAAGGCATTAGGTGATGGTTCAAGTAGTCAGGTCCCTTCCACCAATACAGGAGATCCAGACTGAATTTCCAGCTCCTGGCTACAGCCTGGTCTAGCTCAGGCTGAGAAGGCTTCTGGGGGATGAACTACCAGGAGGGATATCTCTCTGTCTCTACCTGCCTTTCAATTAAATTAAATTGATGCAAGGGAACTTTAAGAAGTTCATGGGAAATGGAAATAAAACAACACAACATATCAAATCTTATGGGATACAGCAAAAGCAGTGTTAAGAGAAAAGTTTATAGCAATAGGTGCCTACATCAAGAAATTGGAAAGGCACCAAATAAATGAGCTATCAGTGCATCTCAAGGATCTAAAAAACTGCAGCAAACCAGACCCAAAACTAGTAGCAGAAGAGAAATAATTAAAATTAGAGAAGAAATCAACAGAATTGAATCCAAAAGAAAAAAAAAAAAACATTACAAAAGATCACCCAAATGAAGAGCTGGTTTTTTGAAAAAATAAACAAAATTGATACCCCATTGGCCCAACTAACTAAAAACTTCATTCTCAATGGAAGTTCCATCAAGTGCAAGACACTTTTGGTTTTGCTATTGTTGTTTTATATTTTTTTAAAGATTTTAACTATTTATTTTGAAAGTCAGAGTTACAGAGAGAGGGAGAGACAAAGAGAAAAAGAGAAAGAGATAAAGAGATTTTCCACCTACTGGGTTAGTCCCCAGATAGCCACAATGGCCAGAGGCATCATCGAGGCTTCCCACATGGGTGGCAGAGGTATAAACACGTGGGTCATCTTCCACTGCTTTTCCCAAGCCATGATCAGGGAGTTGGATTGGAAGTGGAGCAGCTGGGACACAAACTGGGATCTCAGTGAATATCGGCATTGTAGGCAGAGGTTTCACCTGATATACCATAAAGCTACCCCTGAAGACACTTTCATTAAGTGATAATACCAGCCATTTAGTCCATCTCTAAAGATTTGGGGGTCCTGGAAATTAAACATGTAAGCTCAGTGTTTTTTACATTAATAGCTGACCAAAAAATAAGTGTCCTTCAAAATGTTTTTATGATCAGGACCGTATCAGACTGTAAGGTGGATGCCTAATGATTTTCCACTGAAATTCAGGCAAAATCGTCCCTATCTCATGACAAAAAGGAGCAGAAACATTGCAGTGGTGAAGGACTCTCTGGTGAAGCTTTCTCAAACTTTCTTAAAACACACTCACACAAAGCAGACATTATCACTCTTTGGCCTTTGAGGGAATCAATACACAAAATGCCTTGAGTATCTCAAAAATCTGGTGCCACAACCTTTATCTTTACGTAGTTTGCTATGACATGAAAAGGACCACCCACTCCACTTCTTTAAGATTCATTTATTTGAAAGGCACAGTGACAGAGAGAGAGAGAGAGAGAGAGAGAGAGAGAGAGATCTCTTCCAGCCACTGCTTCACTCTCACAAATACCCACTACAGTCAGAGCCAGGCTAGGCCAGGCCAAAGCCAGGAGCCAGAAACTCCACCTGCATCTCCCACATGGGTGGCGGGAACTCAAGTACTTAACCCACCATCTGCTGCCTCTGAGCAGCATCAGCAGGGAACTGCATCTGGAGTGAAGAACCAGAATTCAAACTGGCACTCTAATATGAAATGTGGGAGTTGCAAACGGTGGCTTAACTCTATTCACCACATGCTCCCCCCACACACACTGTACTTCTTGGAACTCACTGCTTTGATTGTACTTTGTCTTCAGCATTATACTGGCAAAGCTGTGCCTCGTTTCCTGTTATAATTCTTTGAAGAAATGCTTCAAGATCTTGTTCCAAGTTGTTTAAAATTTCTATGAAAAGCTGTGCTTGTGGTGTCACAGCACAGCAGGTTAAGTCATCAACTGACACCTACATCCTGTATCAGAATGCCAGCGGGAGTCCCAGATACTCCATTGCTGATCCAGCTTCCTGCTAATGTGCCTGGGAAGGAACAAGTGATGGCTCAAGTACTGGAGTTCCTTGTGCCACCCATATGGGATGCACAGATGGAGTTTTTGAGTCCTGGGTTCAGTCTGGCCCAGTCACAGCTGTTGAAACCATCTGAGAAGAGAGCCAGCAGAAGGGAAGGAGAGCATGCATGTGTTTGCACACACACACACGCACACACACACACACACTCTCTCTCTCTGTCCCTCTCAAATAAACAAAACTTTAAAAAAAAAAAAATGAGTTATCTACTTGTAAACTGCTGATTTCTTTCGGGCATTATCCCCATAAACTTTTCATAAAGTACCAATAATTTCACTATTCTCCATCCACACCAAACTGGATGTTTGTTCTTGCTTCAGTTTTAGCAAAAATTCATGCTGCTCTGACAGGGGATCTTTCAAATGCTGTCTTAACCTTCTTAGTACGTCAGACTAGAACCTGTTGAGACGAGTTACAGCTAGTTGACATAAATCTACTTGTTTGCAAATTTTTTTTAAAATCCATGCATATTGTTCCAGGATATGCATTTTCTGTGAACTCTTTGAAGACCCCAGGTATGCTGGAGCTAACCCCCACCTTAAAGAAAGTAATTAAGAGTAACCATGATCAAAGCATGCAGTCCTAATTCCACTAATTCCATAGGACTGCCATCCTTGTCAGAAGAGAAACAGGCATGAAATATCTCTCTCTCTCTCTCTCTCTCTCTCTCTCTCTCTCTCTCCATGAGAAGAGGAAAGGCCATGTGAGCACACAGAGAGAAGGCAGCCACTTACAAGCTAAGAAGAGAGGCCTCCACCATGAACCAACCTGACAGCACCTTGACCTTGGACTTTTAGCCTCCACATTGTGAGTAAATAACTGTTGTTTAAAGCATCCTGACTGTGGCATTTGGTTACAGCAGCCCTGGCAGACATCAATACAAATTCACAAGAACAAAAAGAATGGTGATTACCAGGAGCAGAGGGAAGAGGGAAAAAGAGTTCTGTTTAATGGGTATATTTGCAAGATGAAAAACTTCCAGAGATCTGCTTCCCAACAATAAGAATATAATTAATACTACTTAACACTTAAAAATGATTAAGATGGAAAATTTTGTGTGTGTTTTTTTTTTTTTTTTTTACCACAATAAGAAAAACTAAAGAGAGTTTTGGGGTTATGGTACAGCAGGTAAAGCTGCCACATGTGATGTCAGCAAACCATACGGGAACTCGTTCATGTCCAGGTTGCTCCACTTCCCATCAAGCTCCTGCCTGATGGCTTGGAAAAGGCAGTGGAAGATGCCCGAAGTGTTTGGGTCCTTGCCAATCACATGGGAGACCTGATGAAATGCCTGGCTCCTGGCTTGAGCCTGGCTAAGTGCTGGCCATGGTGGCCATCTGGGCAGCAAACCAGTAGATGGAAGATCTGCCTCTCTTTCTCTTCCCCCCTCTCTATAACTCTCTTTCAAATAAATAAATCTTGAAAAAAAAAAAAAAAACCCACGAAGGTGAGTTTCAACTGTCTTGCTGCAATACAGAAGAACAGAAGGTAAGGATATAGCACTTCACAAATAAAAAACAGCTAATACTACTTTATGCGAGGTATATGGGTATATTTATATGGTTTTACTTCAGTGACTAAGAGCCATATTGATGACTTTCTTAAGCTGAAACAATAATTCTACTTTAGAATAAATATTTAACAATATATAGCCATCGGAAAGAAACCAAGTTAGTTTATAAATTTTATTTCCTAAGTTCTACTAGAACTAGGGTGACTATTTCATGGTTACTTCTCCCTCACTATATTTTATAGGAAAATGCTGCTATTAGTAGAATACATTTCTGCCTGGTTTAAATTCTCCAGATTTCTATAGAATATTTTATCCTTATAAAAAGGTGAGAAGAAACACAACCAATACTAGGACTCGTGTAACTTAAACCGTGAAGAGAAAAAACAATTTAACTTTTTTTAAAATTTATGACAGCTTTATTTCTAGGAGAAAAACAGTAAGAACGTATATGTTTGAACAACAAGAAAACAGCTAAAGAATAAATAGCTTCTTATCTATAATATATTTGTCTTCTGCTTTTTAATTTAATATTATGAGCACTTTCATGTTATTACCAATGTTCATTGATATTTCTCATGGCAGAATAACTTTCTATTGCATAACAATTTAGCTTTTAAAAAGATGTAATAATTATTTACACTTAATGATTATATATCCCTTAGCTCTTTTCTCTTATAAATACAAGAAAGGCTTGATATCTATGAAATTTTCCATCACTGTTTGAAAACATATTCTTCATGTTCTTCTTACAGAAAAAGAGAAAAGTATAACAACAAACATTTATCTCTGACTTTGCCATTTATTCTGCTTATTCTAACAATGTTAAAACTTGGAATGGTTCAGACTGTGGCTTGTGACATAGTAAAAGTTTTCTCATTTGCTGGCCTAAAAATAGTGTGAAGAAGTTTGTTAGCTCTAACACACAAAGGGAAAAGGCAGAGAGAGCTTGATTTCAGGAGTCAGAATATGGCAGTTTCTGAACACTGACATTAATGGCATTTGGGGTCAAAAAAGTCTTTGTTGTGGTGGAACTCCTATCTGTTGTAGGATGTGTAATAGCATCTCTATTTACTAGATGCCAGTAGTTCCCCAGGTGTGACAACCAAAAGTGTCTCCAGACATTGACAAATGTCCCTTGTGGAGCAAAACTAACCCCAGTCTAGAGAACATAAGGTCACAGGTGAATTGGCAAATTGGCAGAATTAAAGTGCAGAAGTTAACTTAGAGTTCAAGGGTAAATGCTAAACACTGCCATGCAAACGGAAGAATGTGAAATAGAATATGAAGTATTCTGCCAAACAAGATATAGAGGAGTAAAAAGCCATTGGTGTTCACCAGGAAACAAAACACTGATCAGAGCAAGTAGGGAGCAGATAAAAATCAATATCCTTCACAATGCTGAGACAGAAGTGTGTCGATTGCTAGAAAGAGAGAACGTTCTAAAAATACTGCATGCTACTTTTCTGTGTGTGCTCAAGGAAATAAAACCCTAGTTACATTTGCTATTTTCTTCTTTTAGACTACCATCTGGCAATCTACACTTTCACTAGAAAAAAAATTCTAGCCAATAGGATGAAAATAGTTAATGCACCACTCCATGTGCCAAGAAATATGCCAGAAATTCTACAGTTTCCTCCATCTATCCAAAACAAAGACACTAATGTCCTTAAAAAAAAAAAAAAAAGTAAATAACACTGAACATATTTACTTAACTTGTGAAATTTCTTTCCTACCTTTAGGACACAGAATCAAACAACAGCAGAAGGAAAATCACAATTAAAACAGTGATATACGAAAGCAAACTGAAGAAATTAAATTTATTTATTAGACATCAACTTGTTCCCAAAAATCTGGAGTTAAAAAAATCTACTAATCAAATACAGAACATAACTGATTGTAGTCAAAGTATTTCCAGTATTACAGGGATTTGTTAAGAATAAGCAAAACAATGGGAGAGTCCATCAAATGTTTGTAATAGTCTTCACAAAGGCAGTGTGAAGACTCATTACCATAACTGAATCTACAATCACTCTTCTTAAAACTCAAAAGTTGTCAAAAGACAAACTAGTGCATCCAGACTAGGATACCTTTTGATTTTCATTCATTAATCCATAAAGGCTATCCTAACAAAACCTACAATCATCAATAGATGAACACTTAATTATTAAATGCAAAAGCAAGCAGGATATCATGCACCATTACAAAAACATAAATTTTACAAGTACGCATCAAGGTGAATAAGACAAAGTCCTAGCTCAGTGTGCAGGAATTCTAATGAAGTCATCAAACATTTGGGAGAAGCAACATCAAGAAAGAAAAGTAAAAAACTCAACCTCTCTTTTTAAGAAAATTACAATTAATATCCAAGGAATAAAATGAATTTTAAAAAAAAGAAGACTTAAAGTATAATTATTATCTCACAGAGATTTAGAGAATATTGCATCTTAAGACAAGAACAGATTATGACAAACGAGGACATCTTGAGTGAACACCCACATTTACACACATCTGTAAAAAATCCTAGAAAACTAAATAGAAAATGCTAAATATTTCCAGAGAGACAGAACAGATATAAGACATTTTCAGATATTCAAAGAATGACTAGAGTTGAAGCTTAAAAGAACTACTACTTTCTCAAAATAAAAAATTACACAAAGAATGTTGAGTTAAAAATTTAAAAAGATAAGATTTAAATACTATAATATTTATAAAGCTTTCAAACATCAAATAATACTACATATTTCTGTGGAGATATGAATACAATCAAAGTATAAAAACATTCATAGTCATGGTGCATTAGAGTAAGAGGTAAATAAATGTCACAGAACTTTGGCTGGATGCTTCCTTAAGGATAAACACAATTACCATCATCAGACTCACAGATGATCTTGAAGGGAGTAGATGAGAGGGAGGAAACAAGAAGACAGATAGTTGAGTGTGTTCTCATCTCAGTGAACAATACGGATTACTAATTAACCTAACTATTGGTAGTAAAATCTTAAAAGAATATACTTAAATAGCAAATTTACAAACTTAAAAAGACTAAATATAAGGATTGGCACTGTGGCACAGCAAGTTAAGCCGCTGTCTGCAGTGCCGGCATCCCATATAGGAACCAGTTTGTATCCTGGGTGCTCCACCTCCAATCGAGCTACCTGCTGGTGTGCCTGGGAAGACAGTGGAAGATGGCCCAAGTCCTGGGGCCCCTGCACCCATGTGGAAGACGCAAAAGAAGCTTCTGGCTTCAACCTGGCCAAGCCCCAGCCATTTCAGCCATTTGGAGATGGAAGATTGATCTTTGTCTTCCCCCCTCTCTCCCTCTCTCTCTCTCTGTTGTTCTGCCTTTCAAATAAATAAATACATAAAACTTTCTTAAAACAAGGAGAGTAAATATGGCAATATTAACATCACAAAAATTAGAAAGGAACAGCATCAAATGGAAGCTGAGAAAATGTACCAATAATCAAGTTATCATAACACAAAAACTTTATGCATCTAACAACATAGTCTAAAACAATATTATGCAAAATGGACATCAAAGTCATGAGAAAATGACTTCTATATGCATAATGTGAAGTTTCACATCTTTCTCAAATAAAAATGTTGTTTTAATAAACTTGAACATAAAAATCTATATAATAGTACACACAGGCACATACACACATGTTAACACATAATATAATCAATATATGGCTTAAAAGTTGAGCGCTTACTAGGCCACCAAAAAAATCAACAGCATAGGATGCTGGTGTTGTGGCTTAGTGGGTTAAGCCACTGTGTGCAATGCCATTATACAGTATAGATACCAGTTTGAGTCCCAGCTATTCCGCTTCCTACCAGCTCTCTGCTAATGTGCCTGGGAAGGCAGAAGATGGTCCAAGTGTTTGGGCCCCTGCATCCATGTGGGAGACCCGGATGAAGCTCCTGGCTCCTTGCTTCGGTCTGGCTCAACCCTGGCCACTACAGCCACATGGGGAGTGAACAAGCAGATGGAAGATCTCTCTTTCTCTCACTGTGTATGTGTGTGTATCTCTATCTCTCTCTCTGTAATTCTGCCTTTCAAATTAATAAAATACCTTTCTTAAAAGTGTACAAAGAAGAGCCAGTACTGTGACTTAGTGGGTAAAGCTACAGCCTGTGGTGCCAGCATCCCACATGGGTGCTGGTTCGAGACCTGGCTGCTCTATTCTGATCCAGCTCTCTGCTATGGCCTGGAAAAGCAGTGGAAGATGGCCCAAGTCCTTGGGCCCCTGCACCCAAGTGGGAGACCCGGAGGAAGCTCCTGAATCCTGGCTTCACATTAGTGCAGCTCCGGCTGTTGCGGCCAATTGGGAAGTGAACCAGCAGAAGGAAGCCCCCCTCCCCCCCACTCTCTCTCTCTCACTCACTCACTCACACTCTCACTCTCACTGTCTCTGTGTCTTGGTCTCTGTTAACTCTGCCTTTCAAATAAATAAATAAATCTTTGAAAAACAATGTATAGTTTCAACTGATGCTTTTTTAAAAAATGAAAAAATCAACAGCATAAAATACATAAGCATATATTCTGATCATGCCTAAATAGAACATAATCAATTAAATCTGCTTCATTTAGACTTGCATCAAGTATGCAAAAAAATCTTTTTTTTAAAGATTTATTTATTTACTTATTTGAAAGGCAGAGAAAGAGAGAAATCTTCCACCTGCTGGTTCACTCCTGAAATGGCCACAGTGGCTGGAGCTGAGCCGATCCAAAGCCAGGAGCCAGGAGCCAGGAGCTTCTTCTGAGTCTCCCATGTTGGGGTAAGGCAGGATGTACGTGGGCCATCTTCTGCTGCTTTCCCAGGTGCATTATCAAGGAGATGGACTGGAAACAGAGCAGGCAAGACTAGAACTGGTGCACATACCCATTGTGCCACAGTACTAGCCCCATTCAAAAAACCTTAATGGCAGTTTGAATAAGAGTGCAAAGAAATGGACATTTATAGAAACTTCAGGTGACAGTATAAATTTGCAATACCATTTTATAAAAACAATTTGATAACATCTATCAAAAAATTTTCAAGTTTATTTATTTTTATTTATCTGAAAAGCAGAGTGACACAGAGATAGAGAGAGACAGAGACAGAGAGAGATCACTCTTCCATCAGCTAGTCAGCTAGTTCACTCCAACTGCCAGGGCTGGGCCAGACCTAAGCCAGGAACCCAGAACTCCATCTAGGTCTTCCATGTGGGAGCCAGAGACTCGAACACATGAGCCACAACTGCTAACTCCAAGCATCACAGCAGGAAGCCAGATCTGAAGTGGAGTAAAGAGGACTCAAAAGAGTAACTCCCATATGGGATGTGGACATCTTAATCTGCTACACTAAAATGTTCATTCCATCAAAACTTTAAATGTCCATTCTGTTTGACTCAACAATCATATCTCTAGAAATCCCTCTTATTAAAAAAAAAAAAAAAAAAAATCTGTGGCGTAGCGAGTTAAGCCGCTGCCTGCAGTGCCAGCATCCCATATGGGCACTGGTTCGAGTCCTGGCTGCTCCACTTCCAATCCAGCTCTCTGCTATGGCTGAGAAAGCAGTAGAAAATGACCCAAGTCCTGCACCCGCATGGAACACTCAGAAGAAGCTCCTAGCTCCTGGCTTCAGATTGGCCCAGCCCCTGCTGTTGCATCCATGTGGAGAGTGAACCAGAGATTGGAAGACCTCTCTCTGTCCACCTCTGCCTCACTGTAACTCTGCCTTTCAAATAAGCAAATAAATAAATAAATCTTTAAGAAATAAAAACACCTCATGTAATCAGAAAACAAATATACAATAGTAGAGAGTATAATACTAATTATAACCAAAAAAGTAATAATCCAAATATTCATCAAGAGAAAAAGTTAAATAATGTACAGTACACCTATTTTAGAAAATATCGAGCATTAAAATGTAAAGACTCTCCAAAACAAAGCATTATTTTAAGGGTAAAAAATACACATGTATCATTCAAATTATGCTAAGCACAGTGCATAGCAAAGGAAAGGGGAAGAATAAATAACAAACATTTTTTACTTCTGGAGAGGGACCTGATGTAGAACTTTCACTTTTCCTCTATAGAAATCTCTTAGTGTTTGAATCTTTTATGATTTGAAAAGCAGTAATTTTTTTAATGTCTTTACTTCCCAGAAAAAGATCAGGATCTTTCTGTTCTTAGTACAAATTTGATCAAACTCAGCTGAGAGTACAAGTGGACACCTCCAAACTCTTAATTAGAAGTCTGGCTGTGCCTTCTCTGGGAACGCTCTCCACCAGTCATGGATGCCACTTACTTCCTTCATGTTTCTACTTCACCCCACCAGAGGAACTTCCTTTACCTCCTCAGTACAAAACGACGGCCTCCCACACCCATCCTACCACTCCCCAGACACCCTGCTTTGCTTTATTTTCCTCAAGAGTAATTTGCCACCTGCGTTGTAGTGTCCTTACCTTTAAAATGGGGGTGATTACAATTCATATCTCATGGGGTTGCTGTTAGGCTTAATTGAGCTACAGGTTCTTAGATGAGCGTCCGACACACGGTAAGAACCATGTTAAGTCTTTGTTGTTTTTTTTTTTGGGGTGGGGGTCTTTCTTGTTTATAGACTGCCTCCCTCTATGAAAATAACAACCCTAGTAGGCAGGGACCTTGTTGTACTCACTATTGCCCCCTGAATGTCTGGAAAGTACCAATCAGTGTATATTCATAGCTGAGGCCTGATTTAGTTCTACTGCCATATATAAGGACATCTGAGATTACAAGAAAAAGACCAATTATTTTCAGCAAAAGCAAACTTTCTGTGTATCAGTAAGAATCAGCTATAATAATGTGATCTACTTTAAAAGCATAGTTAGCAGTATGACTCTTAGAAGCTTCAAGGAGGGAAGTGATACAGTACTATTCAATTCACTAATTTCTTAACACCAAGGTGGCAACAGAAGCTAAAACATAATTTGGAGGCCAGCACCACAGCTCACTAGGCTAATCCTCCGCCTGCGGCACCAGTACTCCGGGTTCTAGACCTGGTTGGGGCGCTGGTTCTGTCCCGGTTGCTTCTCTTCCAGTCCAGCTCTCTGCTGTGACCCAGGAAGGCAGTGGAGGATGGCCCAAGTGCTTGGGCCCTGCACCGCATGGGAGACCAGGAGGAAGCACCTGGCTCCTGGCTTTGGATTGGCGCAGTGCGCCAGCCGTAGCGGCCATTTAGGGGGTGAACCAACGGAAAAAGGAAGACCTTTCTCTCTCTCTCTCTCTCTCTAACTCTGCCTGTCCAAAAAACAAAAAACAACAACAACAAAAAAAACAAAACACACACACACACACACAATTTGGAATGAGAAAACAAAAGCACAACTTACTTTTCATTCTTAATTTTGACACATGGCTGGTAAAGAACCTTGACAGCATTCCAGGCAGAAGGAGAATCTGTTGATATGTCTTCCAACAAGGAAAATTTTTTGATAGCTTCAGGACTTCTCAAAGATTCAATCACCAAACTGTCAGAGTTTAAAAGCCACAGCTAAAGATAAGGAGAGAAAAGTACAAGGATATTGCAAACCTGTGTATACTTTATATCACTCCTCAAAAAATACAGAATCATGTATATAGTCATATAAATCAAAAGTATGAATCATATATAATCATAAATCAAAAATATGGAATCATGTACTTAATTTTTAATTAGAGTAGCCTTTATTTGGTAGGGGATCTACATCATGGTTAAAAAAAGACAACTGATTACAAGAAAATATTTAACACATAAACATCAAAGTTATTATCTATAAAGACAGCTCCTACAAATCTATCAGAGGCAAAAAGTGCAATGGAAATATAAACAAAGAATCTCAACAGAAGTAACAGGAGAAATAAGTGATAAATACACACAACAATGTTAATGAGACCAATGAGGAAATGTAAAATTTTGTGCCATCATTTTTCACTTATCAGATGAGAAAACACAAAAAGACTGATAACATTGACTCCTGAAGAAGGATTTAGAATGGGCATTCCCATATACTGCTTGTGGAAGAGTGGGGGTGCGATTCACTGGGCTGATATTCTTAGGAGAAAAACAAGGGCAATGGGATGAGGCAGGGTAAAGAGCCAGTCAGGGAGGACAGTCAGGGACTCAGCTGGAGTCTGGCTACAGCCTGACCCCTTGAGGAACTCTAGAGCATGAAATGAATCCACAGTTTGTCCCACTCTAATATGAGGCCCCAGAGTTTTGTGGCTTAGGTTCAAATCACTGGCAGTGGGCTGAGCAGGATAGAGGTGGGAAACAGTGGAAGACAGAGAACTTCCTAGGAGAAGAAACATCTGTCATCCAGGTCGCTGGAGAAGGAGACCTGTGAGCCATTAGCAGCTAACACTGTCAGCAGCTGGGAACAGGTACATCGACCTAATCAAGGAGATATGGGTGGGGCACCAAAAATGTCCACTATAAGAGAGAGACTAGTACAGCTTTTTTGGAAGAGGACTGTCATTTGAATTTAAAATATGCAAAAGCCAATACTATAATAGATTAGAAGGATCTATTTCCAGGGCCGGCACCATGGCACAGTAGGTTAATTCTCTGCCTGCTGCACCGGCATCTCACATGGGCACTGGTTCTAGTCCCAGCTGCTCCTCTTCTAATCCAGCTCTCAGCTACGGCCTGGGAAAGCAGAAAACAGCCCAAGTTATTGGGCCCCTGCACCCTCATGGGAGACCCAAAAGAAGCTCCTGGCTCCTGGCTTCAGATCAGCCCGGCTCCAGCTGTAGTGGCTGTTTGCAGAGTGAACCAGCGGATGGAAGACCATTCTGTCTCTCCCTCTTATTGTCTGTAACTCTATCAAATGAAAAAAAAATATTTAAAAAAAAATTATTTATTTTACTTGAAAGGCATAGTTACACAGAGAGAGAAGGAGAGGCAGAAAGAGAGAGAGGTCTTCCATCCACTGGTTCACTCCCCAACTAGCAGAAATGGCCGGAGTTGCACCGATCTAAAGCCAGGAGCCAGGAGCTTCTTCCAGGTCTCCCATGCAGGTGCAGGGGCCCAAGGACTTGGGCCATCTTCTACTGCTTTCCCAGGCCATAGTAAAGATCTGAATAGGAAGTAGAGCAGCCAGGACTCAAACGGGTGCCCATATAGGATGCCGGCACTGCAGGCGGTGGCTTTACCTGTTATGCCACAGCACCGGCCCTAAAAAAATAAAATTTTCTTTTTTTAAAAAAAAGATCCATTTCTAAAGGAGTATTGAAATACATATGCAAAGATGATTTTCACTGCAGCATTGTCTTTAACAGCCGTGCAATGGAATTCTAGTCAATAAAGAGCCAGAACTCTATTTACAACAACAAAAAACAACTCTCATGATATATATACATATATTTTAAATATTTATTTATTTGAAAGGCAGAGTTACAGACAGGGAGAGGCAGAGGCAGAGAGAGACCTTCCACCCACTGGTTCACTCTCCAGATGGCTGCAACGGCCAGTGCTGGGCCAGGCTGAAACCAGGAGTCAAGAGCTTCATCTAAGTCTCTCATGTGGGTGCAGGGGCCAAAGTAGTTGGGCCATTCTCCATTGCTTTCCCAGGTACATTAGCAGGGGGCTGGATTAGATGTGGAGCAGCAGGGACTCAAATTGACATCCATACAGCAGCAGCAGCTTAACCCGTTACACCAGTGCCAGACCCAATTCTCATGATATATTAAGAAAAACAAGTATGTTGCAGAAAATGCTAATCATGTGATTATTTCTTTTACAAATAGATAAATACATGTGAGTGTGCTTATATGTAATTCAATACTGATAGAAAAAATGTTGTAGGACACATATCAGACTGTTAATGATCACTTCCATATAGTGCAACAGAACAGGGCAGGAGAGGGAACAACATAGGAGAACTATCATTTAAGTCCTTTATGTTGTATGAGTGTGTTTCAAGAATGTCACACTTCCATGAAAAGGAAAAAAATTTTAAATTAAATACATATTGGAAAACTTTAAAAGTCCTACTCCTAGTGATGACAATTTGTTGCAATGGTTAAGACACTGCCTGGGAGGCTGCATTCCATATTGCAGTGCCTAGGTTTAAGTCCAGCTCTGCTTCCAATTCCAGCATCCTGCTACTGCACACCAGGGAGGCAGCAGGTGATGGCTCAAGTAACTGGATCCCTGGCACCCACGTGAAAGCCCAGAATGAGTTCCCAGATCCTGGCTTTGCCATGGCCCACCCCAGGCTTTTGAGGATATTTAAGGTAGTGAACCAGCACATAGAAGTTCCTCTCTCACTCTCTCTATGCCTTTCAAATCAAATATAATTTCAAATAAATATATATTTAATTCTACTTTGGATTTTCAATTTCAAAACTGCACAAGGAAACACACTGATTTCAGACTATGACTATGAGGTAGACTTAGTATCAACTTAAGTTAGAAAATTAGCTTTTCATAGAAATTATCAGGAATTAAGAGAAGAATGGGATCCCCATAACTGATGACCAGTTACAAATTTACATCTGATAACAGTCTCAGGTCCTTCCCTCCTTTCTGCTACCCTGTTTCCCTATTAGCTTGTGAATTCCTTGAAGGTATTTTTTAAATTAATTTATTTTTTGAAAGGTAGAGTGACAGAGAGGGAAGGACAGGAGAAGGAGGGAGGGAGAGGAAGAGATAGAGGGAGAGGGAGAGTGAGAGCAAGAGGGAGATGGGAAGAGAGAGGGAGAAAGATGGAGAGGGAGGGGGAGAGGGGGAGAGGGGGAGAGGGGGAGAGGGGGAGAGGGGGAGAGGGGGAGAGGGGGGGAGAGAGAGAGAGAGATCAGCTGGTTCACTTTTCAAATATCTGCAACAGCCAAAGCTGGGCCAGGCTGAAGCCAGGAGTCAGGAACTCCATCCAAGTCTCCCACATGGGTGAGATGGGCCCAAGTACTTGAGCTATCCTCCACTCCCTTCCTGTGGGCATTAGCAGCAAGCTGGATTGGAAGCAGAGTATTTGGGATGTCAGGGTTGCAAGTGGCAGCTTAACCCACTGTACCACCATGCCAGGCCACCTTGAAGGCAGTTTTTGTCTCACTTTGAACATTAGCATAAGTTGAACACAATTTATTTGAAAGGTAATAATAATAAAAAGTAGTGCTCAATGTATGTTAACTGATCAGATAAAACAGCTGTGGAGGCAGAGGCTTGAGCCATGATGCTTAGACTTCCAGATAAGTGCCCCATATTCATTTCTTTAGAACATCATTTTTAATAGAGGCAGTGTAATATTAGACCCGTGTGGTTTGTGTAGGGGATGATTCTGCTAACCACAGAGCCTCTTATCCAAACCTTGCCACTATTTCTCGAAGTGTCAAAGGCAATTAAAAACAACAGAAGCGATAACACATGTTTTAAACATAAGAATATCAAACAGGAAAAAAAAAAATACAAGTGGGACAGAAGTGTTATACTGACCCAGAAAAGCCATTAAAAACTTGAGAGTGAAAAACCTTACTTTGTGGAATAAGCTTCTAAAGAGCAAAAATCAGGCTTCCTTCCTTATGAATCCCCAGTACCCAGAATCACTGATCATTTGTGATCACATTAAGGGAATCTGATTTATGGATTGAACCAATATTTAAAAAATCAACTGCTGATCATTTATTTTCTAGACCTGAGAATTAAGAAAAGACATGGACACAAACTGAAGAGTTCTGAGATCCTGGATTACCAGGGTGCCGGTAATGGAAGGAAAGTTCTTACCAAGATGTACACTTTGCCATCCTGACCTTGAACGGTGAATCTAAACGTGCTCCTAGCAGAGGAGAGCTCCACCAGACACTGGGCGACAATGCTCTGTACAAACTGAGACCTGTTCGAACAGAAATCAGATTCACAAGGTGCCTCTCAAAATAACAACTCTAAAGGGTAAGGTAAGCCAGAAATACCCACAAGGTAAGAGGCAGCAACATCAGCCTGGCAGTTCTCTTTCTGCCGTATATTTGCTTGCAATCTGCCATAATGTGGATTTATTATAATATATTGTAATGCATTTGTACTTGCTTTATTCTTCTTAAAACCCATTCTCCAATCCTGAACACATTTTCCACCTGAAACCTAACTATCTTCCCTTACTTACCAAAACATCATGTTAGAATAGTACTCCAGATGTGCAATAGTGCATTTGATGGTAACTAAATCAGAGAAGGTGAGAAATATTCTCTCAAATATTAAACAGTGCTACCAACAATGTTTTCCATATAGATCTCCTTCAAGTGTCAGCTGAGTTTACTTAACCAAAGCACTGACAGAATGATAATATTTAAAGTTATATCCAGATTGCCATAATTTGGGGATATCAAAAAACAAACTAAAATGAAGATATACTAT